ATATGAATATATTACCTTTAATTTGGTGTCCTACATATGTTTATAATTGTTGAATTCTAATGAGGAAAAGCACAAAAAGTAAACACAATATTTACAAGTTTTACAAGGTGAACTTGCACATCTCTCTGTGGTGGCTAACTTTATCATGTTTTACTTGTAAGTTCAGCTCAAAGTTGTGTTCCTTTAATAGCCAACTGGAATTTAGCTAGAGAAAAATCACAGGAACACTCTATGAATTTGAAATATGCACTCTCATCAAGTGTGACGTAAGATTTGGTTAATGATAAAATATTACCACCTTGGAATATTTTGTTGCCTGGTTTTCAAAACAACTACTTGTGTTGTTAATTTCAGTTTTTGCCAAAACAAAGTAAATCTCTTCGAGGATAAATTATACAAATACCTAGGTTTCATAGTTTTGACTGGGCGATGAATTACTTGTACTAGATTTTCTCTTTTGTTGGTCTAAGTGTATGAACTGCTTCTTTCTAAAAACGTGTTGGGTTTGCGAACAAAGTCCGCATTAGTAGCTGAAAAGAAAGGGAAACATATAAGGTGTAGGGACACTCTTAATGGTGTGAAGCCTTTTGGGGAAAACCGTGGAAGCTTGGCCCTAAGCAGACAATATCACCCAATATTAAGAGTGTCTTTGGGCTGGCTTAGCCCAACAGATGTTAATGTGAAATTTCGGTATATGGTTTTTTATTTCAAATTAAACATTTGACAGTTGATACATCTGCTGAATTAGGATTTTGATTAACAAGGTTCAGTATCTTTTTTTTTTTTTTGTTCACTTGAATTTTCTTCAATGGTTTAAGCGGAGGCATCCCTAAGCAAGATACTCTTGGAATTGATTGGAAATTAAAATATTAAATTAACGTCCAAAAGTTATAAATTGTACATTGTTTAGTAGAGTGACATATACTGGACAAGGATTTGCTTATGATTTAACCTATACTATAATCTCTAACTTCTGCCAATAGCTTTTATGTCATGGGTGAGTTAAGGTGGATTTAGGATTTGAAGTTAGTGGGTGTAGAGTTCTACTACTGTAGCAGTCAGCTGGAATCTTTATCTATGTTCAACTACTCAAGCAGTCAGCTGGTATAGAGTTCTACTACTCAAGCAGTCAGCTGGAAACCCAAACTATCGAAGAACTGGAGCCTGTTGCAAGAGCACGGTAATATTGAGGCGATTACTAATGGGATCTTTATCCATGTTCAATATGTTATTGCTCTGTAGGAACCTAAGCAACTTATTATGCTGGGCTTAACTATTTTTTTGACTAGATAAAAGTTGGCATGAATGTGAATTTTCTTTCCTACCTTAAGTTATCATTAATTTCTCAGTTGATCTACCCAAAAAAATGAAAAAAATCATTGATTTCTGAAAAAAAGGATCATATCAAACTCTGTACAGAATTCGGTTTGCGAGAGATATAGGGGAACTTACTGATATTTCAATTGAACAACTGAGGTTTTGGTCGTTTGGAGCAAGTTGTAGCTGGGAGAGTAAAAAAATATTAATATCAGTATTTAGTGTGAGATTATTAGTGGAAAGGACAACACAAGCTTACTGGTGCAAACTGATAGGAATGGCCAAATGGGATGGGTTAGCTGGTCAGGGCTTGGGTTTGGCCTTGGCCGAACTACGAACAACATTTAAGGTGCGGCCGTGGGACCATGGGCTGCTGAATAAGAAAACGGGAAGTCAAACGATGCAAAAGAGGAATTTCTATCGTGTTACTTTACTTTTATTTCCTGGCATAGCTCACAATTTTGTTTTAACTACATTTTAGATTCACACCCTTTTGGTGTCATTGTGTATCTTTCTGTAGCAATGGCTCACTTGAAGAAGCTGAATGAATGAAGTTAGAGGACTTGACTTTCTTAGCAAGTTACCTTTTGCTTTGTCTGTCACAGTTTGTAGATGTAGGGACCATGGTCTCCCCAACCGTTTATGCACGACACAGTATCTGTTATCTCATGTGTGATCCACCTGATGCTGCCCTTCGTGATGCTATGCAAGCACAATGCGTTTATCCAGATTGGCCAACGGCTTTCTACATGCAGTCAGTTGCCCTTACCAAACTGGACATGCACCAAGATGCTGCAGACATGTTAAATGAGGCTGCTGGACTTGAAGAGAAGAAGCAGAAAAGTTGGAAAGGATCGTAAAGGAATCCTGTTTCAGATAATTAAGTGATTGTCCAGAATTCATCTCCCCTGATTTGTAAAAATGTTGATAAGAGATATAGCCATCTTCTTGATTGCAAATGTAGCCAGTTATTGGTAAGTTAATGATAGGTTCTTCTCCTTTTGGTCAAATATGATCAGCTTTAACCCGTAGATGATGTAAGAGAGGAAAAATGCTCATTAGGCTGCACAGGTTTAGCTCTCCAGCCCCCACGTCTCCACTCTAAGATAAATAGATTTTGCCATACATATGTAATGATGAGAACGTTTAATGGCTAATCGTTGCTTACTAACATTCAGAATAATTGTTAATTCCAACAACTGGAGGCCTGATAGTTCTGGTAATTGAGGCCTTTCAGCTTCTTATAAACTCCTTTCTCTAATGGTAACTGTTTATCCTACTGTATGTGGAAGTAAGTAGGAACTATATCACGGCTTTCTGGGTCTCAAGTTAATGTTGTTATGTATGTTCATGGAATACAGTAACATGTGGATTCTTTAAGAGAAAATTTGAAAGAAGTTTAACAGAGGACATATTATGGACCTGTAGTAGTTTGTAGATTCAGAAGGATACACTACTGGTGGGCATCCACCAATCACATTTGTTCTGAATTTTCTATTGGATATGAGGGAGTTAATGGCTATTGATTCCTTTTTGGGGGTCGAAACAGAATTCACAATAGCCAAGATGACAAGGTGAAGGAAGTGAAAAAAGAAATTTAGCAGGAATGGTTGTGCCTGCACTACATGATGTAATTAAAGTAGAGAAGTCACCATTTTTAAGATTCTTATTTCTTCCCTTACATTAAACTTCCAACTGCCTCAGGAGAAATTTATTACAATAACAAATAAAGACTAGCCGAAATTTACAAAGTTTAGCCGTCTTAGAATTAATTTCAGACAAGCATGTATGAAGTGGAAATCAGGGGTCTGAAGTAGGGGTGTACAAAGGAAACCGACAAATCGCACCAACCCGATAATCCGAGTCAAACCGAGGAAAAAACCCCGACTATGGTTTGGTTTGATTTGGTTTGGTGTTGGAAAAAAAACCCGACCATAATTGGTTTGGTTTGGTTTTAACTAAAGAAAGTCAAACCGAAACCAAACCAACCCGACATTACATATATAGAGATTTTAGATATATTTAATATATAAATATATTTATTGTGATGTAATTTATAAATTTTCTTAAAAATTTTCATAATTTTATCTTTTAAGGTATTATTTCAAGGTTGGACTTAGAACTTTTGAATGCTCCAATAAGTTTTATAGCCATTAATATTAATAAATTAAATAATGCTAACAAAAGTCCAAACAAAAATCAAATCAATACTAATGCTAACAAAAGACATTCAATTCAATATTACGAACGAGAATTTATTGAATATTTATTTTTTGTTTTGCAATAATTTCGATAAAAATGCATAACCTATTTTTATTTTTCTTTAGCTAGCGTTTAGTCATGTAATTAATACTCCCTTCTTAGTCTATTTATTTTAGCGTGACTTAGTACTTTTAGATTATATTTATTTTTATTATGGCTTTTTAATTAGCAATATTAATATTACATAATTTTACTGTCTTTATTGTTGAATTTTAGGATAATGCCATGACACATCTCATATTTTGTATTATTTTCTTGGAAAATACTTTATATAGTTGTATCTTACTAGGATTAAAGAAATATTTTGAGCATACATTATATGTTTTGTTCTACGAAGATTTTACCGCAAAAAAAACCCTGAAAAACCCGAGATAAACCGAGATTGAAAACCCGAGTTTTATTGGTTTGGTTTGATCTTTAGATTTAATAACCCGACACAATTGGTTTGGTTTGGTAATTGAAAAATCCGAATCAACCCAGCCTATGTACACCCGTCTGAAGTGAAATTATTCCTAAATTGTATGCTAATACAAGTGAGCATATACAACAATAACTACACCTTAATCCCAAATAAAATTGGGATCGGCAATACAAGTTAAACATATGATATCGATTGTAGGGCAAACAGTGAGATGCAAGGCTAGCAAGGTACCTCCATCAATGAATTCGACATCAACCGAGGTCTGAAGCTAAATTTGCAAGCAGAAGAATAGCACAGTTTGTCGCAATAGAAAAGGCAGAAAAAGACGTAGGATAGCGGTCCAATAACAATACCTAATACTGACCCGAATTTAGCTTAAAGGATATATCTGTTTACTTTCTATGATTGGTTTGGTATAAAAGACAGACCATGAAAAAGATGTGATTGACTTTTTCAGGGGCTGCTACTAAGTTGATGAAGGTAACCTTAATAGGTACAATTTAAAGGGCTGATCCAAATATGACCAACGTAACCATATACTCCATGTGTTCCATTTTATGTGGTGACCTTAAGAGTATGAGAGTCAAACTATTTGATTTTTGTGGGAATTCTGGCAAAGAATTTTCAAATTTTGAAAAAATATTGACATATTTGAAAAGTAACACAAGTTGTTTATAATTTAAAATATTTGATAAAATCATTGTTAAAGAAGATACTTTTTCTTAATTGTAAATGATGTTAAAACAGTACTCCTATATCATATATTTACCCCACGTATAAACCTCAGCTCTTCATCCACACTCTACCAGCCGCCTATTAATATTTGTAACTTGTCAACTTAAGCTGCTGAATAAAATATTGGATAAGGCGGGCTATGAGGTTATCCTTCTTTATTGAACAATATCTGGTCACAAGTCACAACTACTATACTAGACTTCATACGATGTTTCCATCAACCTACAGGGTAGCTGCATATATATGTATATATATCCCCAACTCCTTTACTTGCTTGCCATCTCTTCTTCACCAATTCCGCAAGTAAAAAAGGTCAAAATGAGACTTTTGAAGTTCACAGCTCTTTCTTCTCTACTAGTATTGTTTCTGGTCCTGGCTGTCTCGGCAGAACAATGCGGTAGACAGGCGGGAGGTGCACGTTGTCCCTCGGGAATGTGCTGCAGCAACTTTGGATGGTGCGGAAACACTCAAGACTATTGTGGTCCGGGGAAGTGTCAAAGCCAGTGTCCTTCTTGCCCTGGACCTACCCCAAGACCACCCACCCCTCCTGGTCCTAGTACTGGGGACATAAGCAACATCATCAGCAGTTCCATGTTTGATCAGATGCTCAAGCATCGGAATGATAATGCATGCCAAGGGAAGGGCTTTTACACTTACAATGCCTTTATCACTGCTGCAAGATCATTTCGTGGCTTCGGCACCACGGGTGACACCACCAGGCGTAAAAGGGAGGTTGCTGCTTTCTTTGCCCAAACCTCTCATGAAACTACTGGTAAGCCTGCCGGCTATGCTACCTTCATATTATAACCTTTAATTTCTCAAATGCCAAATATATATAGAAAATCAATTGAGATTGACTCGAAATGGTTGGTAAATTTGGATGTGCGCTTGTGTTGATTAATTAATTGACAATATAATGGACTCTTTTGGCAGGAGGATGGGATACAGCGCCGGATGGGAGATACGCATGGGGTTACTGCTACCTTAGGGAACAAGGCAACCCTCCTAGCTACTGTGTTCAAAGTTCTCAGTGGCCATGTGCTCCTGGCCAAAAATATTACGGAAGAGGCCCCATCCAAATTTCATAGTGAGTTTTTGTTATTCTGTTTATATTGACACATATCTTCTCGCAATAGTGCTGTGCTCCTCCAAAAAATGACTGTTGGTCATATCATGAAACATTAACTCTTATTTTCTTATTGTTTAACTCAGCAACTACAACTACGGGCCTTGTGGGAGAGCCATAGGGCAGAACCTCCTAAACAATCCTGATTTGGTGGCGACCAATGCTGTCGTCTCATTTAAGTCAGCAATTTGGTTTTGGATGACGGCACAGTCACCGAAGCCATCTTGCCACGATGTGATCACAGGGCGATGGACACCATCGGCGGCTGACAGAGCAGCGAATCGCCTCCCAGGATATGGTGTCATAACAAACATCATCAATGGGGGATTGGAATGTGGTCATGGATCTGACGCTAGGGTCCGAGATCGTATTGGTTTCTATAGGAGGTACTGTTCCATTCTTGGAGTAAGTCCTGGAGATAACATTGACTGCGGCAACCAGAGGTCTTTTAACTCTGGTCTCTTGCTTGAGGCTATGTAATCGCCTCAGTTGTGTTTACTTTCACCCACACCCACCCGGTGTATAATAATGTAGTAATTTGTGATATATAGGACCACGACTGTACCGTATACAATAAGCAAAGAGTTCGTCCACAATGTACAGTGGATGTTTCTTGTTTCTTTTTCTTTTTTTATATATACTGGTTTGGGTACTAATTAATAAACATCAACTAAGTGTACGGCCTTGTGACACATATGTGTGCCTTCTGCTCTAGCCTCTAAGTCACCAAGCAATTACTATTGATTTTATGGTCCATGAGGCAGAAAATTTTTATGTGCGCAGAATGGTTAATTTAAAATTCATTAGAAATCTGTCATCTTAATTCCGCGTCCACATAATTCTTTCTAGCCTTCACATTAGGAGTTAAAGATCATAGGTTTGAAAAAGATAGGTAACATTACCTTACTTGGCAGAGTCATTGAATTCGTGTAGAGTCAAGTCGATTAGCAATGCAGTTTCTGAATGAAATGAGCATGAAGATGACTCTGTCATTCCGCTCCATATCTTTTAATTCCATGCCGGCTGCCGCGTACAAAAAGAATTTTAGCTTATTGGATTAGCCCGCGTATTTTACGCTCTAGGGGTTATATAATTAGCAGGCCCTCAGGGAGTGCCCTGTTTCACCATAGAGTCAGATAGGAAGATGCCCTTGGCTTGTTCTCCAAATAGTTTAAAATCAAGGAACCAAACTTGACTGAAAAATGATCTTCTAGTTGTATATGTAGAGCTCGTGACTAATTAACGGCACTTTCCTTTTTAAACTAATGTCACTTTTTTAGTCCAATTGTGGACCATTAATATTACAAGTTTAAAATATCAATGCCACTTTGTCACTCCAATAAAATGAAATCAAACTACTACTCTTGGAACTGGAAGAGACAATTAAAAGATAGTTTAAATGGAAATTAAGATATCTTTAATATGATTTAATATTTGTAACAATGCGGCTGGTCATTTTGAGCAATTGCATTTAGTTCGACAGTTTGAGATCATGAATAACTTCACATAGTGTATTATGACTTGCGGGCATCATCGGCTCGGGTTTTTGAGTGGTTCGGAAATGATCTTTAGGAGCGACTCTCATCTGAGAAGCTCGGAGTCAAAACAATTGACCAATGTTTGACCTTTGAGTATTTGACCTCGGATAGGAGTTTCGATGGTTCTGGTAGGTCCGGATGGTGATTTTGGACTTGGGCATATGCCCGAATTTGCATTTGAAGGTTTCTAGAAGGTTTCGGCACCATTTGGCGGAAATTGGCAATTTAAAGGTTTTGAATTTTCCTAAGTTTGACAATGGTTTGACTTTAAGGCTATCGGGTTCGGATTCTAGTTTCGGGACTTGGAATAGGTCCGTTTCACCATATGGAACTTGCCTGCAAAATTTGATATCATTTGGAGTTGATTTGATATGGTTCAGATGCTTGGTTCGATTCTAGAAGTTCATTGTAATTTTCATGCATTTTGGCGTCCGATTCGTGCTTCTAGAGGTTATTTTGATGTTTTGATCGCGCAAACGAGTTCGTGTTATGTTTTTGGACTGGTGTGAGTGTTTGGTTTGGAGCCTCGGAGGCTCAGGTGAGTTTCAGATTGATTTCATTCAATTTTTAAGTACTGGCCCTGGTTCCATTTTGTCGCAAATGCGATAGCCTTTGCATTTGCAAACCTGGTGTTTGCAACAAATTTTCGTCATATGAAAAATAAAACGCAATCACAAAATAAGAGAAAAATATTTTTACTAATCAATTGTGAGTACAATTCTGTTTCTCTCTTGATTCTTCTCTCCTGATTATCTCTGTGATTCGAGGGCTGAAGCAGCGTATTTCTCGAATGTAGGATGGGCAGACCTCCTGGGATGTATTTGATCTCCAGCTTCTTGAACTATTTGATTGTCAAGAAGTATCCGACCATATTTTGATCTCTTTATGAATATCTCAAGAGTTTATGGGATTTTGAGACACCTCTTCAAGGGAATATGTATCCCTTTATATAGGTGTGAGTTAGGGTTTAGGGTAGAGTAGCCTTCAAGTTAGGGTTTCAGGTAGAGTAGCCTCCAAGTTAGGGTTTCAGATAGAGTAGCCTCTAAGAAACCTCGATGGATTCTACTTGTAGTATCTTAAATTTAGGATCAAACCCAAATTTCATATGGATTTGATCCGATAAAATTTGATGTCTACAAATGTCCCCTACTTCAAGGCTTGTCGGGGCGTAGATTTACAAGATCGTCGTAGATGAGGCTTGAAGTACTGGTAAAAAAGACACCACATTCTTTTCACCATGAGAGAAGAGATGAAGGGTATATTTGGTCCCACTAGGCGTGCCAATTTGTTTGCAATAAATTTTCGTCATATGAAAAATAAACCGCAATCACAAAATAAGAGAATTTCTTTTACTAATCAATTGTGAGTACAATTCTGTTTCTCCCTTGATTCTTCTTTCCTGATTATCACTGTGATTCGAGGGCTGAAGTAGTGTATTTCTTGAATGTAGGATGGGCTGACCTCTTGGGATATATTTGATCTCCAGCTTCTTGAGCTATTTTGATGGGTTTTTAATTAACCTTATGTTTTGATTATCTAACAAACTTGTCGTGAAGAACCAGATAGAGAACCTTCTCCATAGGATACATATCTCATATGAACTGGTCGAAGCCTGAACATTAGCAAATGGATGAATGACCACATGGAGGAACACAACAAGGACCTGATAACCTGGTCCTAGAGGGTTCTCCGACAAAAGCACAAGTCAGTAACTGTACGCAATCAATATAAAAAGGAACACAACAGGGACCCTGATCCCTTAGGGTTCTCTGACCAAAGTACAAGTCAAGTGCACAGCCGGAATGCAGCAGAAGAAAGTGACCATCTGGCAACTGTTACAGAACGAGGAACACAACTAGGACCTAGTCCTAGTGTATGTCCTGACAGAAGTATTAGGACCTGGTCCGTTGGTATGTCCTGACATAAAGCACAAAGTCCAGCTGGAGCGCAACTACCCAGAAGTGGTTGTGCAGACAGTGCAGCAGTCACTTCTCACTGAGAAGAAGTACATCAAGAGTTGACACCACTATCTATTGTGATATCTTTTGTAATAAAACAACCTGGTGCAAGACACACCATCACTTGTGCATTCAGTAATATTCTCTCAAGAAGAAGAAGCATCGATCCAGCATTGAAATCACTGGTGTGTCAAGAACAAGAAGACAACTCCACTGAGGATCAGTTTCTAAACGAAGTCTTATGTATATCCATAGTTGAGTTGTAATCTTATTAATTGTTCTACATTTTAATTCCTAGTTTGCTTTCTTAGAAGCGCTGTTTTAGGAACAAACAAAATTCGTAAACTTTAGAGTTTATGTTGTGACTAGAAATAATCATAAGTTAAATCCTTTGTAACTAGGAGAGTTAGAGAATGGCTTGTGGTGGTTGTATCACAAGTTAGTTTAAAATCTTTGCAATAGGGAGATTGCAAAGTGTCTTGTAATAAGTAGATTACAAGTTAGTTGAGTTAAAAGCCTACAAGAGTAGGTCATGATTTTTTGATCCCCTTGTGTGGGATTTTTCCACGTAGAAAAATCTCTTGCCTTCTTTACTTTCAGCCTTTACAGCATTCTACGTATCAGTCTCATACGGGACCAGGTACTCTATAGTTTGGTGGACTCATATAAGCTATCAATTGGTATCAGAGCGGGTTCCTCCTATCAGGCTAACACCTAGAAAGGATCCTAAATGGCTGCTCCACCAAACTTTGAAGAAGGACAATCAACCTATAGACCTCCCAGATTCAATGGTCAATACTACAGCTGGTGGAAGACTCGGATGCATAATTTCATAATAGCTGAAGATTTAGAACTATGGGACATCATTTGTGATGGTCCACATGTTCCCATGAAGAAACCTGAAGAAACAGGACCATCGGTGCCCAAATGGAGAAGAGAGTACAACGACACTGACAGAAAAGCTGTAGAAAAGAACTATCGTGCCAAAAAAATCTTGATGTGTGGCATAGGACTTGATGAGTACAACAGAGTATCAGCTTGTGATACTGCCAAGGAGATATGGGAAGCCTTACAAAC